AGTTTGCCTTGTTGCAGGTACACTGAGAGCATTAGTGTTACAGGAACAGTGCTCCGTGCAGTTTGTCTTGGTACAGGTACACTGAGAGAACCCACACAATTTGTGTTGTTACAGGTGCATTGAGAACATTCACCCAGTTTCATTTTCAAAACAGGAATGTTTATTCTATCCTGTTTCATGTTAGAGAAAGTAACATTTTAAAAGTAGGAACAAAGCTTAGGAGTAAATGTGTTCTCGATTTATAATTAATCACCCTGTAGTATGCACTATAATTTCAGAAGATCATAATTTATCACAAAATGCTACTATGAAGAAAGGGTAGGAGAGATAAGGTGATGGAGGGAGGGGAAGCGGGAAAGGAAGAGGCTGAGATGGAGAGGATGACAGGAAAAGAACAAAATTGGAGAATAGCTGTCCTATGCATTTTTTGTTTCAGTATGAAGCTATATCAGGTGATTGATTTATCAGTATATTGATTCTAATGCACATTTGAAAAGAACTGAATAGTTAGAGAATTCTGTATTATGAGTAACTTTATCAGATTCTTCAGAGTTGTGGACAGTAACTTCTGCATAGATTTTTGTCAACTACTCTTATAGAACACAGAACCAAGAGGACTGTAAATTCTCTACTAGAACTCAAACAGGAGCTGGTACATGAAATGGTTTTATTCTGAGTTTTTAAATTAGTCCCTGTTGCTTTTGCTGACTGTTCCCTTATACCATGCTTTTAACCCAACTGTAATCATTTACCTATTTATTTATTTATTTATTTATTGGAGACAAGAGTCTTGCTATGTAACCCAAAACGTCCTTAAACTACTAAATAGCCCAGATTGTCTTCAGGCTCATACCCTGCCCGCCCTCCAGCCTCAGCATCCTGAGTGCTGGGATTATAGTCACATATTATAGTCACGTAGTCCAAGGTAGAACTCTAAAGGAAAGGGCAGGACCCAAGAAGAAAGAATGACTGTCAAGTTGTGCATGGGTTTTTAGGTTGAGCAAACACCGAAATGTGCTTTAAGTTGTTCCTTTACACATCAAGTTTGTGAATATTTCTAACTTCACCCCTAGCTGCTTGGGACTGACTAGCAACCCCTCCCATGGAATGTTAGTAAAGTCTCCGGAAAGAGCCACATTGACTACTGGAATTGGTTCATATCACGTTTACTTTTTCATAATAATAGTGTTCTTGGAGCGTGGTCAGTGCATAGCCAAAGCACAGGCCTTCGCTCTCACTCTAAGCTTCTGGAACTGACCTTCTGAATTTTCTTCGGCCAACATTCTTTGAAGGATTTTGAAAACATTTGCTTTGAGTTCCATCCGTTAAGTTGTCAGGAAGTGGGAGTTAAAGACTGATTCCAGCCGCAACTCTTCAATCCCCTCACTTGTAGGTTTGCATAAGCCTTCATAATTATTTAAAAATATATTCTGTGGTCTGACTACACTACCTCAAGAATCCAGTACTTAAATGTCATGTATATGTTTTGGAAATTGAAAGCAATGCATTTCGTGGTCACAGTTGCTCTAGGTTTATTACATGGCACTTTAAAACCACTTTGAAAACATTTGTGGCATTTCTGTGTGTTTTTGAAAGAGAAAAATCATTCCCCCCACTTTATAATTCGATTTCTCCGCATTCAGTACTATTTCTCTGCCAAAATTCTTGCTATTCCCTGTCCAGACTTAATTTCCTGACTGCCTTTGAGTTGGCTCTTTTTCTCTGGAAGCCAACCATCACCATATTCAAATGGTCATTTTCCTTTTAAAGGGCCACATGTAGTTAAAAAAGAAAGAACTATTTTGTCTGTGTTATGGTTGAGTTTCTTTTTAATCTACAGAACGATCTTTTTTGTTTGTTTGGTTTGTTTTTGTTTTTGTTTTTTTGGTTTTTCGAGACAGGGTTTCTCTGTGTAGCCCTGGCTGTCCTGGAACTCACTCTGTAGACCAGGCTGGCCTCGAACTCAGAAATCTGCCTGCCTCTGCCTCCCAAGTGCTGGGATCAAAGGCGTGCACCATCACCGCCCAGCCCAGAATGATCTTTTGTATTATCTGGTTTACAGATGCTTTATGCATTCTGACTTCTGTTCGTTTATGTATCTCTTCTGTCTCCCTGGTAGTACTTTACAGTCTAGTAGCAAATGTGCTGCACTGCTAATCATATTAGATTAAAATATTAGGCTTAAAATCATTAATATATATTAGCTATTTTGTAAACACTTGTAAACAGCAATTGTATAAGGCAGAAGTTAAAATCCTTATTTTTTTCCCATAGTAATAGTTGTGGTGACCTTGGCTGTGCTAACAAATTTCATCTCAGAGTGATAAGCAATAAAGAATTTTAAAGATTAGTACATTATGTATTTATTTATTTAGTTTTTATTTAATGTGTGTGGACCTGTGCATGTTGAGACACAGGTGTGGAGGTTGGAAGACAGCATTTGGAAGTTTGTTCTCTCTCCACCATGGAACTGAGATGAAGCCCAGCTCCTCAGACTTGGTAATAAGTGCTTTACCTGCTGAGCCATCTCACTTGCTCAGTGATGCAGTTTTAAATTTAGTTTTCCTGCCTCGGCCCCCTCCCAGTCACCCCTGGCCCTGCGTTGGCAGCAGCTTGTTTCACCTTCAGCCCTTTTGAGTTTAGTCTAGTACTGAAGACAGAGCACAGCTGGTCTGTTGTCAGAGATGCAGAGAATGAGGAGAACAAGCCTGTGTGTGCAACCCAGCATCAGGATAGCAAGACAGCACATAGATTTCTGGGTAGCATTCATGTCTCTGTGTTAGTTCTGATCCTCTGTAATCTTTAAGCTCAAAATGGTAGCAGGCATCCAGAAATTATAAGGGCTGTTTCTAAACTTAGGGCTGTCAAGAACTGGCCCTGTCTCCAGGTAGGTTACCCATGCTTCAGTGAATGACCACACATATGGTGAGCACTAGCTGGAGCTGAGGCTAGTGATTGCAATAATAATGAGAAGAATGGTCTGAATAGGAAAGAAGGCACGAAGAGGGGAAGACAGGCTGGTGGGTTCCACAGAGTATTGGGTGAAGCTGGGAGCAGGCTTAGGTAAGATTGTTTACACATACAAGATTGTAAATGCATGGTTTACTTGTATGAAGATTTCAGAGAGTAAATAACAATATTGTAAACTAGAATTGGCCCTGAGGATTAGACTCCCAGTCTCCCAGTTCACAGTCAAGCACAGGTGCTGTAGAGCAGGACAGAACGGCCTGTGTGAAGGCCTGCGGCAGCAATGAAAAGACAGGCAGTTTTAATGAATGGTGTTAAGAGTTTGACAGCACCCATCCAGGATCTGCTGAAGAAAGGCAGAGAAGGAACAGAGAGTCCGTGGTGGGAAGGCCTCAAGACTCAGCCCTGGATCTCCAATTTCTGTCTTAATGTATTAATCACTGATCAAATCTCATGGCTTTCAGTTCAATCCTTTATCCCAACAATTTCCAAAAAAAAACATCTGTTCAGCCCTGACTCTATCTCATGCTCCAAACTCAACTGCCTACCTGGAGTCTCCATTTGAATGTATCACAGCCTTGACATTAGTAAGTCCCCAGGAGAGGGCTCATTTCCACTAGCACCTCCCTGGCACCATTGCTCAGCCCTTACCCGTCACTCCTCTGTTAAGGTTGAGCAACATCAGTTCTCAGTCACTCAAATCCAAACCATAGTGTCACGCAGACTCTGCTGCTTCTCTCTAATTTTCAGGAATTTCGGTTATCACTACTTCTGAAATACACTCTCCACGTTGGTCTGCTGCCGCCAGCCTGGCTCCAGGCCTCCTTGTACATAGTGGTGCCTTGGGTCCAGCCACTGCCAGCTTGTTCTCCGAGTGGGTGATCTGAAGAGATTTACTTGACTGCTTTAATAGTGAGTGTCTCCAACACCTCAAGGTTCTGAGATACATCTCAGCCTTGTTTGAATCAGTTGTCTTCTAGCTGGAGCGTGTTCTGATTGTTCACCCCAAAGAGAAAGCTTTTAACAACGACAACAAAACGTGTATAGCTGCTTATATTTATTTTTCTATTTTTAAATTATATTTTATTTACTTGTGTGTTTATATGTATATGTAGCGCTTGCATGTGCCACACAGTCTGTGTTTGGAGGTCAGAGACTAACTTGCAGGAGTTGATTCTCTCCTTCCACCAGGTGGAACCCAGGGATTCACCTCAGTTTGTCAGGCTTAGCAGCTAGGATTTTTACTCAGTGAGCATCTCACTGGCCTTAATTTTTGTTTATTTATATGTAAAATTATTTGTGAAAGGCAACTATATATGCAGATTGCCCTGTGGTTTGGGTCCTTTGAAACACTGAAGCGTGAGAACCTGAGTTTCGATTCCCAGCACCCACATGAAAGCTTGCAGCACACACCTGCAATCCCAGCACGACAGGAGAGCCCTGGATAGACTGGCCAGCTCTCCCAACCAGTGGATGAGCTCAAAGCTCACTGAGAGACACCGTTCTGAAGTTAAGGTGGCGAGGGCCACAGAGAAAGATGTCTACTTCTGCTTCTGTTCCCTCACACCCTAGCCACGTACCCAAACCAAGTGTCCTTAGTCCTCCAATGTGACATCCACAAATGAGCTATGGGAAGGTCAGGGAACTCAGAATTTATACACAAGAGTTTTACGTGTATAGACAGTGTCTGGAAACTATAGTTTCCACTGAGTACTCAAAAGAATCCATGATGGGGAAGTCCTGGGCCTGCTCCATTTCTATATATCAAACCAGAGTTTAACTTGTATGAGCAGTTCCTAAGACCTGCCTTGCAGATGTTAGGGGATGAAGCCGAATAAGGGCATGACTGTGAACAGTGACCGTGGCTGTGCGCAGGTGATGTCCACTTGTACACCACACTAGTTTTGTGTATGAGACTATATTAACGTCTGCACAGTTAGACCGGGATATCTATTGAGATGGTTATAGATTCTTTGAATCCTCATCTTAAAAGATTATCATTTCTTCCTTTGGTTTGGTGCATGTACAAGCAGTGAGCATCGCTGACCCTGCTGCGCTTGGCTTCATCATCTCTCCATGGTCGCTACTGTTGCTGCCGTCTGGCAGTGTGTCCTTTACAGATGAAAACGTCTCCAATCAGGACCTTCGAGCGTTCACCGCACCGGAGGTTCTTCAGAGCCATTCACTGACTTCGCTCTCAGATGTAGAAAAGGTAAATGTTAAGTCTTCTATTTTATTTTCATTCTGTTTCTTAATTTTTTATAGAAATAAGACGGGTCAAAACAATGGGCTACCCTACTCAGCCCATGGGAAATTCCTTTGAATTTAAAATAAACATATGTTTTAAGATTTATATATATATATATATCATATAATTCAGAATTTTACAGTTTTAAGATTTTACATATGTATTATAAATAATTCAGAATTTATTACATATACATGTTGTTTAAAAAGATTTGGTATGATAAATGCAAATTACTTAACCCTTTGAGGTTTCTGGTTTAAATTGATCCCGAGTGCCTACAAACTAATGAAGTGGCATGCTGAGTTGTGAGAGGGTGTCCCTATCATCGATCATTTCTTCAGTGAGCATAGTGACTTCAGGGAGAGATAAGAACCATGATATTACCATGAATAGTGTATAGTTTTTGAGAACTCTTCTAAATTGTATAAGAATCTCACTCCTTACTCTTCAATAATTTTTGTAGATGTCTGTGAATTTGCTCAATAAAAGTTTCAGGTACATTCTGGGGCTTGCTTAGCTCTTCTGAGGTCCTTGGTTTAATTCACAACTTGACATAAGCAGGTATAATGGAGCATACCTGTAACTCCAGCACATGGAGATAGAGGCAAGACACTCAAGTGTCATCTTGAGGTCCATTGTAAGTCTAGTCTGAAGCTAGCCTGAGCTACATGAGATCCTTCCTTTAAAAAAAAGGAAAAAAAAAATCAAATAACAGTTAATGAAAAAGAGGCCAAGAAATTGAATGAGAACAAAGAAGATATATGGGACCATTTGAAGGGAGGAAAAAGAAGGTGGAAATAATGTTATATTATAATCTCAAAAATAAAATAAAAAATAATAATAACAACAACAATAAAAACAAAACCAAATAAAACTTCCGAAGTACGTAGACTGCTGTGTCTTAGAGATCACATTCCAAGCACTGGCTGCAGTTTGCTTTATGCTGAGGGGCCAGTGCCAGGGATAAGGGGGTGTGGGAAGGTCACTGTCATGCTTGAAGCTTGTGAGACTAAGTCAAACACCTCTCTTGTTTGTTACTTCAATTTTAATACAAAAAAGGGGGGCGTCATGCAGATGTCTTAGGCCTTTATTGTTGTGAAGAGACACCACGACCAAGGAACTCTTAGCAAGGTTTTCTACTTAATAGGGGCTGGCTTACAGTTTCAGAGGTTTAGTCCATTATCATCATGGAGGAAAGCATGGCAGCATGCAGGTAGGCATGGTGCTGGAGAAGGAGCTGAGAGTTTTATATCTTGACCCGAAGGCAGCAGAAGGAGACTGTGTGTTATAATGGGCATAGCTTGAGCATATGAAACGACAAAGTCCCCGCCCCCACAGTGACTCACTTCCTTCAACAAGGCCATACTTCCTAATAGTGCCACTTCCTATGGGCCAAGATTGAAACACCTGAGTCTATGGGGCCATCCCTATTCAGACCACTACATTCCACTCCCTAGCTCCCATAGGCTTGTGGCCATATCATAATTCAGAAATGCATTTAATCCAACATCAGAACTTCTCATGGTCTATAATAGTCTCAAACTTGTTTTAAAAGTCCAAAGTTCAAAGTCTTAAAAGTTGAGATTCATGCAATCTCTCTCTCTTTTTTTTTTTTTTTTTTGGTTTTTTGAGACAGGGTTTCTCTGTGTAGCCCTGGCTGTCCTGGAACTCACTCTGTAGACCAGGCTGTCCTCGAACTCAGAGATCTGCCTGCCTCTGCCTCCCAAGTGCTGGGATTAAAGGCGTGCACCACCACCGCCCGGCTTCATGCAGTCTCTTAATTGTAATCCTCTGTAAAGTCAAAACATCATACACTTGCAACATAAAATGGCACAGGATATGTATACACACACACACACGGAATGGATATTTTATATATATATATATATATATATATATATATATATATATATATATATATATATATATATATATATATATATATATATATATATATTCACACACACGGAATGGATCTTACACATACATACAGAATGGATATATTTATTTTGTATGTGTGTGTGTATATACATATATATGTCACAGTTCCAAAATGGATTAACGGGAGATTATGAAGAAATACGGGACCAAACCCAGTTGGGATTCTCCAAACTCTGCACCTCCATGTTTCATGTCAAATGCTCTTTAGATCTCCAACTCTTTTCATCTTTGTTGACTGAAGCACACTTCCTTCTCTTGGGCAGATTCCACTTTCTGTTAGCAGCTTTCCTGAGTAGGTATCCCATGACGACTCTGGCATCTCCAACATCCTGGGATCTCCAGGACAGTCCAGCCCTCACTTTCATAGCTTCACACAATGGCCTCTCTGGGCCTCCATGCAGAGACACTTCTACAACACGCCTAGCCTCATCAGCGTTCCTTAGTCATGGAGGGAGAGTCTAGAGAACCCCTTTCTTCTATCCTTGACTCTAAAGCCAGAATCATGTGGCCGAAGGTGGTAGGTCCTGCTGCTTGCTGGGGCTGGAATATTGCCGCTTGTTCAATTATGTCTTTACCAGCTTTCTATTTTTTTTTTGTTTGTTTGTTTTTTTTGTTTTTTTTGTTTTTTTGCTTTTTGAGACAGGGTTTCTCTGTGTAGCCTTGGCTGTCCTGGAACTCACTCTGTAGACCAGACTGGCCTCGAACTCAGAAATCTGGCTGCCTCTGCCTCCCAAGTGCTAGGATTAAAGGCGTGCGCCACCACCACCTGCCAGCTTTCTATTTTTAATGGAAGTTTCCATCACTGCCTAAGTTTGGATGTCCTGAAACTTGCTCTGGATGCCTCTGTCTCCCGAGTGCTAGGATTAAAGGTGTGTACCACTACACCTGGACCTAAATTGTTCTTTAATTCATTTTCACAGGCTGGAAGCTTAGCTGGGCAACCACTCTCCATACTTAATCTGTTTATGTCTTCCAATGCTGGATTTAGTTTCATTCTACTTCCTGGTGCCCTTTTTCTCCTTGAATCATACATTTTGTATTTTGCTCAGCTTGTTCTGTTTTGTGGAAACACACTTTATAAGAGTGACCTACAGGACAGAGTCTATGATAGGCTATTTTGAGTTTGCCAATATAATTAATCTAAATTTCCTCACTTAGTCACAGGTAGACTCTTTGGACAAGGGCAAAAGCAGTCACATTCTTTACTAAAATATCACAAGAATGGTCTCTAGGCAATATATTAAAATTCTTCTTCTCTGAAACCTCTTGAGCCAGGCCCTCACAGTTCAAATCACCCTCAGGACTACAGTCTTCCATGATTCTACTAGTATGACCCATTAAGCAGTGCTTAAAGCAGTCTATTGCTTTCCTAACCCAAAATCCCAAAATCCACATTCCTTCAAGTAAAAGCATGGACGGGCCTATTACAGTAATACCCTAGTCCTGTGTAAATTGATTTATATGGTTAAAACATAATCTCTGGCTTACCACTAGTGGGGAAAACTTTAATTTACAAACATAAACCATTCTCGGTAGAATGAATAGTGCTTAAGAAAAGTTTGGTCAACACACACAAGATAGAATGGAAAAGGGAAAAAGAAAAGTGGAGGCTGAACCAGGTGCTTCAGTGTTAGGTTCCAGTGCACACAGGCATGGCAGGAGGAACCTAGGGTTTGCCTGTAGAGTTGAGGTGGATCAATCAGAGTGAGCTTAAAAGTCATTAGAAATAATTTAGAATTAAGAAAAATAGAAGTATTGGAAATATTTGAAAACTGAATTTTTTTATTATAAACTGGGAACAACTTTAGGTGGCAATATAAAAAAACAGATGGAAGCGCCGTGACATACTAAAAATATTTTATTTGTACATAGATTTTTTTCCCACCTATTTCTAAAGAGAACTAACGCCATCTTATAGAATTTAAAAACAAAGTTTAAAAAACAGGAATCAAATAAAAGCAATAAAATAAAAAAAAGCTGAAATGTCCTGTCACCCACCCCCACATCCCCCAAAAAAGAAACCCACTAAAAAACCAGCAACCAAAAAACCCAAGAAATGAAAACCCTCACATGATGTTAGGCAGGGCTCTCTGAACAAGAGAACTCATATGACATATAGTTATTAGAAAGCAGACTCACTAGATTGGCTTACAGGAAGTAGAGGCTGGGACTCTAATAAGGGGCGTCTGTACACTGGGGTGCAGAGAACGTCATAACTGCTCAATCCTCAGATATGAAGTTGGCCTCAGCAGCCAAAGCCCAAGGTTAAAATCTAGAAGTTCTCAGGACAGTCACTGGTATGTAGTGTGTTTGGAAGTTTTGTATAGTGTGTGCTGGAAGTTTCCTGGGCAGCCACTGGTATATAGTGTGTTGGAAGCTCCCTGGGCAATCTCTAGTATGTAGTATGTGTTGGAAATTTCGTGTGTAGTAGATGTTGGATTTCCCTGGGAAGTTGCTGGTATGTCATGCTTTGGAAAGCTAAGGACAGCAACAACAGTAGCAGAACAGGCAGGCAGGCCTTTCTTCAGGTCCCTTAACCAGTGTGGCTATGTAAATCCCTATAGACTCTGCCGCCTGCAGAGACTCCACAGGCCCACCTCCTGCAGGCAGTGCCTCCTCCTCTCCAGCCTTTCCAATATTCCCCATGGAGCATCTGCCCACATCACACGCAGTTATTTTAAAACCAATGACAGAACAGTTCTTTGATCCTCCTTCTCTCTGCTCTCCCAAACACACAAATAAGCTTATCAGTCCTCCAATTAGATTGCCCCCTCAGTTTTCACATTGGCAGAAATCTAAATCCTATGTGGAAACTTCTGTGTCAGTAGTTGAAGTGAAAATGATAAACTAATGTATAGGGAAATGACCATTTGGTCAGTGTGTGTGTGGGCGTGTGTCTGCACGTGCATGTGGTGCGTGTGTGTGCGTGTGTATTGGAGTTGTCTATAGGTGCAGCTCTCATATAATTTAGGAATCAAATCAAGACAAATGTCTCCATATAAAAAATGTTTGCTGAAACGCCTATCATAAAGTTTGGAAAACTTTAGTTGTCTATTAATAACAGATGGACTATTATTAAAACTGCAGTAGACAATAAAATAAAGGATGAGCTCTCCAACAGCTAGCATAGACATCTCTGCCAGTAAATTAAGGAAGCAAGGCTAGTCCACATCATAAATGTCATGTAGAAGGAGGATTTGGAACATGTGTTCACATTTTCTTAAGTTTGCATAAAAACCTAAGGAAAAGCAAGCAGAATGATTACTCATTGCAAGGAGACTGTGCACTTCTGGTGGGGATGGTGCATCTAGTCTGATCAGTGCTACTCCGATTTCTGATTTTAATCTCTCTGTGCTTTTATATAAGTTGTGTGAAATGATTTTTCTCAAATTACATATTATACTTCCTTTGGAGCAAAAAAGGTATACTTGTTAAATTTTTTTTAAAGTTCTACCATAAAATGACTTTTATAAAAATTCTTTTCCCAGATCCATATTTATTCTCTTGGAATGACACTGTACTGGGGGGCTGACCATGGAGTACCTCAAAGCCAGGTGAGTCATTTCACATGTGGGATGCTTTTATATTGGTGCATATCTACACCTTTTACAAAGGTCTTCTGTGTGATTAAGTGTGTCCTACAGCATGCTGCCAGGCACGCAGGCATTTTATACTGGTTGCTTATGGATGTACTACTATCAGAGTCAGAGTGAACTAACAGTGAGTGCTCATGAAATCACTTTATTTTATTTATTTTTTTTTTTTTAAAAGCAGCAAGTGTTCTTTTTTTTTTTAAAGATTTATTTATTTTATTTATGAGTACACTGTAGCTGTCTTCAGACACACCAGAAGAGGGCATCAAATCTCATTACAGATGGTTGTGAGCCACCATGTGGTTGCTGGGATTTGAACTCAGGACCTCTGGAAGAGCAGTCAGTGCTCTTAACCACTGAGCCATCTCTCCAGCCCCATGAAATCACTTTAAAGATGTCCTAAGGACTGGGGCAGTCTCTGCCCAGGTCACTGTCCATGACTGAGCCTGTGAGATGGAGCCGGGCTCTGCTAGAAGGATGACATGCTGATGTTAGAATACTTTATTTCGCTGGGCAGTGGTGGTGCATGCCTTTAATCCCAGCACTTGGGAGGCAGAGGCAGGCGGATTTCTGAGTTCGAAGCCACCCTGGTCTACAGAGTGAGTTCCAGGACAGCCTGGGCTACACAGAGAAACCCTGTCTCGAAAAACCAAACCAAACCAAACCAAACAAAACCAAACAAAACCAAACCAAAACAAAACTTTATTTCTCACTATCTCCTGATGGAGGATCTAAATGTCCGATGAGTCAGTCTCGCACTGACAGTAGTGATGTGGCAGTTCTTTACCCGTGAGTTAGGGGAGATGACACCTCTGTCCCAGTCAGCCTGTGGTAGGGAAAGCAGGGCGTCTCTTCTCGTTTCAGCCCTTTAAGGCTGTGGGAACTTTGATAATGTTGTGCACTTGGAATGTCAGAATCTTACTTCAGTGCTCCCGTAACGGCAGGCACACACCTGAGGTTAGCTCTCAGACTCTGCCCTCTGGTGAAATTGTTAGGCCAGTTTTAGCATTTCTGTTCTAAAATAATTCTGCTTCCTGGAATCTCACTATAAACATAATAGAAAACAGGAGTGAAAGCATTCGAGACAACTTTATAACATCAGTATGTCATTTAGGCCTGGGAAGTGGCTCAGACAGGAAATTGCTTGCCCCATGAGCATGGCAGCCATTTTGGGATCTCTGTCACACACAAAAGCAGGGCATGATCAAGCACGTTTGTAACACTGGTGCCTGAGGGATGGACAGAGGCATACTCCTGGAGCTCAGTGGTCAGCCAGGTGACTAATGGGCGTGCTGCAGTTGTAGTGAGAGACCCTGCCTCAAATGGCCATGTGGAAAAG